CCTCGGCACCGCGGCCATGGCCAAGGAGCGGCGCAGGGCGGTGCAGGAGCTGCTGCGGTGGCCGGGGAATTCACGCTGCGCCGACTGCGGAGCCCCAGGTAGGCACGGGCCGGGGGCGCGGGTCGGAGGATGCGGGTGCGGCCCGGGTGCGCGCAGGTGCGGCGGTTTCGGCTCCGGTGGATGCGACGCGGGTGGATACGGGCTGGGCGGGTGCGCCCGGTGAGCTCGGGGTGGTCCCACGTCTGGTGCAGTCCAGGAGGGTGCGGGGCGGCTCTCGGAGGTACCCGGGGCTTCTCGGGCACCCGGCGCCCACCGGGTGGGGCCCGGCCGGAACGCACCTGCCCGAGGACTCGGCCTAGGGCGCTCCCCTCCCCCGCCCCGCGGCGTGTGTCGCTGTCACCCGCGCGCCGCCGCCGCCTTGCGAAACCCCGGGCTCCTCAAAGAAAGAGGAAATCGCCAGGGCGGCTGGCTGCAGGGAAGGAACAGCCGGCCGCTGAGGATCTCCCCGGGGCGGGGGTCCCCGGGCTCTCCAGTACCTGGAGGTGACGTCATGGCGCCCTCTTTCGGCCTCCGGGCAGGGGGTGGAAGCTCGGGCCGCCTAGGGGGAGGGTTTGGGAAGGGTCCCCCTTTCCAGCTCCCTGCCTCTGAGATGGGGCAAGGAGCAGGTAGGGTCCTCGGTGCACCTGCGTCAACATCGTCCAGCCTGGCACCTCCTAGGCTTTGTCCCTTGGTTGCCCCTTGCCTGGGGGATTTCTGAGCCTCCCGAGTCCAGCAGGTCTGATGGCTACGTTCCTGGGCCAACCCACCGCGCCCCTGGCTGGCTGCCTTAGGCTGCCTTGCCTGTGGGGTGAGGGGGTTCCCCTAAAGATTCAGCTGTTCCTGCCCCTCCAGTGGAGAGGAGCCCATTCAGGGGCTGGCCCCCAGGCAACCGGGAACCCAGGGCTTCCAGCCTCAGCCTCACAAGGCAAGCCTTTCACCGCAGGGTGCCCGAGGTCCCCTGGGCACCTCGTATGCCTCTGAGATGCTGGCTGGTGACCACATCCTCCAGATACCCTGAAGACAGGACTCCATCCCTAGCTCGTCCTGCTCTCCCTTGCTCTTGCTCTGGGCTGGGAGGGGCCTCTCACAGCCCAAGTTTCTAAGGGTCTGCTGGGCACATGCAGTGTGGCCCTGGGGGACCCAACGACCAGCTTTCCTGGGAAGCCAGGTGGGCTGAGGTGGCCTTTTCCTCGGCCTGCTGAGGGGCCCTGCTGATGGTGCTGGAGGCTGAGCTCAGGCTCAGCCCAGACTCCCCACTCCTCCCCTGCCTCTGAATTTCTACTGTTCAGGGCTGTCGGGGGAGGAAGGGCAGACAGGGAGGTCAGGTCCCAGCCTGGCCTGGAGGGTTCTCCCCGGGGATGGGGGTGTGTCCAGAGCAGGAGGCCCGCCTTGCTCTCTCCTGGCTTCCTGGAAGCAGCTTCTCTTCAGCAGACCCACTCAGGAACCACCCCAGGCCTCAGCCTGGTGGGAGGAGGGGGCTTCTTTGCTTGTCAAGCCCACAGGCCTCTGCCCTTTGCCTAGCCCACCCACTCAGTGTCCCACTGGCTCCTGGGCCCAGGCCACTGGCTGTAGCAACCTTTCAGTCCTGGAGCCCCAGCTGGGCCTCTCCTTGCCCAGCACTTCCTGGCACTGGGCCAAGTCCCAGGTTTTCAGAGTTGGTCTATGACATCAGCAGTTTTCGTCATCTGACTTGCCTGCCTGGAGCAGCAGCAGGCTCTGGCTGTTGCTTCCATTTTACAGTCAGGGAAACTGAGGCCGTGAAAACACAGGCTCTTCTAGGGGACCTAGTACCCTAAGGCAGACCCAGCCTCCTGGTGCCCAGCCTTGGCCTGCCCACATTGCCAGGGCCAACCTTCCGTCTCCTGGCCTTGCCTTGCCTCAGGCTATGGGCATATCCTGCCTCTTCCTTGTGACCCTGTGGCGTGTCCACACAGGCTGCCTTTTGGCGGGAGCTAGACTCTGACTGTGCGTTGTGCTGCTGTGGGGTGCCGCAGGGTCCTCTCTGTCTCTGCTGTGGTTGTGAGGGTGGTTCTGGCGTTGGTGTCCTAGGGAAGGCCACTGTGTTTTTGGTCTGTCACTGGCACCATCATGTGGACCTGACCATGTCTAGAGGAGCAGGATATCCCAAGAGGGTCCCCTGACATCTCTGGATGGCAGGACCTCAGGGCAGCCTCAGGCCATCTCTAACCACCAGGCCAGGGCCTCGGGTACACTTGGGCAGACTCTAGCCCAGCTGTACCAAGACCCCAACCCACAGAGACTCCTCTCAAGCCCTCCTCTTGTCAGCCCCAGTAGTGGGTTCCCTAACCTTCAACTTTTGGGGCCCAGCCACTGGCTCTCATCACAAACAGGCCAGAGTGGGTGTGCTTGGGCCCTCCTGTCCTGAAGGGGACCCTGGTGGAGGTCTCTCTCCTGGTGGGGGTTGCAGAAGGGAGGAAACCTCTGTGCCCACTGAGCTACCCTCCCAAGGGGACAAGGCAGTGTGTCCTGTGAGCCACAGGTCGTCAGATGCTGTGGAGACTTGGGTGTCTCAGCTTTTGGGGTGGGTGGGTATGGATGGGAATCCTGAGGTTCTTTTATACTAGTACCTCGAGTACCTGAAGGAACCAATACCCAGGAGCCCTGGCTTTCCCAGCCTGGAGGTCAAGTTTAACCCCTGCTGACAATGAAATTAGATGTGGTGGTCAGGAGCTGCTACTCATGCTGGACCTGAGGTCCCCCCCCCCACCAGATGTGGGTGGGATATGAAGAGTGGAGAGAGGGACCTTGGGCCCAGTCCTTGTGGGTACTGCGTGCGAGGGACCTGGGAAATGCTGCAGGCCTGGAACATGAGCTTATGCAGCCCTAGGGCTTTGGGGTAGAGGTGACAGCTTTCTGGTAGAGGTACCTGGATGGGAGGTTTCAGGAATTTGGCCTGATTTGGGGGAGGGTCCATATCTGTGGGGAGAGGGCTGCTGATAGGAGGGAGGTGGGCGCTGGCCCTGGGCATGATCAACAGGAGCCTCCCCAAGACAGCAGGAAGTTGGCCACGGCCCCGGGGGGGAAGCCATGCCCTTGGGAGGGGTGGATGCCTGCATGGAGGTGGGGCAGGAAACAACAAGACTTCTGGGCCTGTGGGAGCAGGGGTGCTCCTGGGCAGGCACTCTGGGGTTCTGCTAGTTAGGGAGCAGATCCTCAGCCCTCAGGGAAGCCTGGGCGGGAGGGCAGGAGGGCGATGAGGCTCAGCTGTGCTGTTTCTTCCTGAAAGAGGCAGGTCAGTGGCTGGGGAACCGGGGGGGCGCTGGGACACTGAAGGACCAGGAGTGGGAATGAGCTGGAGGGTCCTGAGTTAAATCCAGTGCCTTCGCCAGGGCCCCCTGGGGGAGCCTGTGGGTCTTAGGAGCTTGGGGGTTCAGAGGGCACGAGTGGTGGGAGCCTGGAGAGTGAGTTCTCAGACAAGACCCAGAGCGGGATGACAAGAGGGATGACAGAGGCAGTGGGGAGGGCAGCCAAGGGGACAGGGAGACAGGAGTTGGCCGCAGGAGCTGGAGGGGCCATGCAGGCCTGGGAACTGCTGTAGGGCCTGTCTGTGGGTCAGCAGAAGCCGCAGGGGAGCAGGCCACATAGTCAAGGTGCAGGACAGGGTGCGGGGCCAAGGCCTGATGCCTGGGGTCCTGGAGAGGTGGACATGTGGCCACCACCAAGGCAAGGCTTGGTAGGACCAGGCACTCGCCTGAGGCAAGGACAGCAGGAGATTGAGCCCAGCACACAAGCAAGCCCTAGGGAAGAGGCTGCGGCAGCCAGACCCATGCATCAGCATTTACATATTTTTCTTCTTTTCTAAAACTTGAGGCAAAACTCACATAGCATAAAATTAACCATTTGAAAGTGAAAATCCAGTGGCATTTGGAGCATTTGCAGTGTTGTACAACCACCACCTCTATCTAGTTCCAAAAATACAGTGTTTGCAACCAGGAGACCAGATGAGATGCTCAGGAAGGAGCCCGGGCTGCCCTGGTGTGTGTGTGGGGGGGGGTCTCAAGAGTAGGAGAGGGAGGGAGCCCCAGTGGGGAGCCCGAGGGAGGTGCAGTGGGTGGTGTGCAGAGAGGGACTGTGAAACAGGTGTCTGCTGGGAACACCCGCAGGAAGGAGGCCCCTGAAGCAGCTCTGCCTCCATGGGGGAAGGGCCTGGGGCTGGTGGAGGTGTGTGCCCTCCCTGTGCGGGATTCAGGAGGGCTCTGCTGTGTGCGCTGTGAGGGAACCCTTCAGTCCCAGGCCCGGAATTCAGCCCTCTAGTGGGGCTTCCCTTCTGGCAGAGAACAGGGATGAGCAAAATGACAGATACCGTGACCGGGCACCCTGGATGGTGGAGCACATGGTTGGGGCCTCGTTGCAGGGCAGGGAACAGTCACACAGGCACCCCACCAGCCAAGACTCCAAGGGAGTCATCTTGCCCAGGGCCCTCCTCCCACCCAAGCTGCCCACCTGACTGGCCCATCCTGCCCTTGGGTATTCATCCCTACTGGGAAGGCAGAGGTCTCTGGAGCTGGGCCGTGGGGCTCTGCCACGCTAAGTTCTGTGGAGGGGGTTGATTGCTCCCTGTCCCCTGGTGCCTGGACCTTGGCCCAGGGGACATACCTGTTTCTCCTAGCTTGGCTCCTGGATGGGCCTCACTTACCCACGTACCTTTGACCTGCTCCCGGAAGCCGTGAGGGCTGAGTCACAGCTGATTGCCAGGGAGAGGCAGGGCAAAGCCAGGGCAGAGGGAGGAGGGTGAGGCTGTCCTTGGGGATCTGGGCTCATCCCCTCCACCACACCTTCCTGCCCATGTCCCTGGCCATCCCTGGGCCCAGGGTGCCTCCTGGGCTTGTGACCTGTTCCAAGGTGACCTTTCGTTGACTGTAGCCCATTGAACAGGGAATCCCAGAGCCCTGGGCACCCAGAGCCCCCTCCCTGACCAGCAGGAGGGGTAACAAGAGGGACCTGGACCTAGGGAGGGGGTCCTGCGGGGTCCAGGAGCAGAGTGTCCTGCCAGCTGTCCTCAACATGGCCTCTTCCACCTTGCATGCTTTGGGGCACC